TATCATTTCAATGATATTAGCTCGAAAATATAAAAATCGATTTTTTTCAAGAGGGTATTTCACTCCCTAAACGATTGTAAGAGCATGTATAAAGAAATACTATCTTTTGCTCTAACTGAAACTACGACATATTCAAAATCGGAGTGTAACATGTAAGGTTTACTTGTTGGTGCACATTATAGCTGTTGTACACTCACTTAATCTGAATGTAAAAGTGAAATATTTTAATTAATAAAATATCCGATATAATTATAATAAATTTAGCTATTGGTAATTAGCGCTGCACGATAAAAATTTCGATATTATTAAATTGTATCTTTAATATTTAATTAATAATTTGTATACACGTTTCGATAATTTATTATAATTATACGTATATTTTTTATATCAGAAAATTTAGGTTATTATTTGTATATATATACATATATACTCACAATGTATCCCACATAGCATAGAAGATTGAAGCAATATTGTAAATTGCAATGTAACATTGCAGAGGTATAAATTAACAGTATTCCTGTAATTTCAGTAATATGCCTGTAATATTCCAATAATATATGCTAGTAATATTCCAGAAACGTTGTAAAACTGTAATTTTTTAATTGTTATAATATATTGTTAATAATAATAATATATTGTTAATAATAATAATATAAAAATATAATTTTTTCTAATATTTATGTAATACAGTTTTTTAGTTTATCAGATATAAATGATATAATAATTAATGTAATCCATTTTTATACTTAAATAAAAAATTTATTATTTGACGATCATTTTATTAGCTTAGTTTTATATTTATTTTAAATATGAAATCAAAAAATTTTGTAATAATATCGAATTTGGATATAATCAATGCATTATTATCGGATAAGACAATAAACAATTAAACTGCTAAAAACAATTTATCGAAATATTAATTATGTGATTGATGATATATTTGTATGCCTGATGTGAACGCAAGAATAAACCAGCGTTCGAATTTTATAATGATAAATTTCATACTATCATTTTTTAATCAATTTCAGTTAACTCGGAGTGGCTTCGAATAAAAAGAGCCACTGCGATTAACTTAATCCATGATGAACTTACCAAGCGACTTTATTATTATGTTAATGTGGATAATATTTGTAGTTTGTTCGGGGCACATACATATATGTTTTATCCTTACAAATAAATTTATCCTTCAAAATTAATACTGCACTTATTGGAATATTTTATGATTTTATAAAAATTTCATAAAAAAATTGTTTTATAGAAAGGACATATCACCAGAAATGTAATTTGTAAAAAAATTAATGTTAGTGAAAAATGTATATGTACGGAAAATGTACAGTTTTTATTTTCGAGTCTTCGTAAGAAATTTATCCAAATACATTACATTGCAATATTGCTGGAACGTTTCGCTGCAATATAACAAAAAGCGGACATCTTAAAATTGTTGGAATCTTGCAGCAAAGATTCAGCAATGTTTCGCAATCATCATGTAATATTGCAATATTTCTGCAATCTTTCTGTGCTGTATGGGATATTATTAAATACCACAATAAAATATATTGAAGATTTCGCTGTTTAATTCGTTTCTATATTTTTATTAAACGTACATCTTTACATCGATTTATGTACAATGGCTTTAAAGTGCACTGAGTGCGTACTTGTTCTGCCAGTGAAAAATTCGCTATAATATTTTATGTCAATATTTGTCAGAATAAAGTATAAAATATCTAAATTATTAATTTTTCGATACTTCTACCTTAATACCTTTATACGCAAAATATAACCAGAGGAATCATATTACATAAAATTATATAATCCACTTGAAAAAAAAGTTGATCTTGAAATCTCTGAAGCGCCTCTACCTGGACAAAAATTCATTCCAAATCATTTCCGCCACATGATAGACCCTTTTATATCGTGAAATTTCGGTTAAACAAATTTTTCTCTAGACCTTATAGACTCAAAGATATTTCAGATGCTATAATTATTAGGACCCTATATATAGTGTTATTGAAAACTTTCAAAAAAATACCACTAAACTAAAATAGACTTTATATACAGGGTATCTCACAATGGCCGCTAAATATTTTGTACGCTACTAGAGCGGACTAAACTGAGTTGAAAAATTCTGTACCATTTTGCAATTTTGAAACAATTAACAAGATATTAATTAAAAATTGTCGAATATTGATCTTCAATATTTTTTTGCTTAAGTACTATCAACTTTATAAAAAAATTGCAAGAGATAAAAATTGTTTATTTTTCCCAATTCTGAAAATTTTTTAAGAATTTTTTAATACCTCATTTTTTCATGTTGATAAAAATAGTTGCTAATAAGAAAATACAATAATAAATAGTTGAAAAGAAATTCTGAAAAAATTCTTAGAGCTCTAAAAAAAAATAAGTTTCTTGCTATTTTTCTGTAAAATTGAGTGCTTGAGTGAGAAATTATTGGAGACTAATATTCGGCAATATTTAGTAATTATTATTACATTAACTTTTGTGAAAATTGCAAAATGGTAGAAAACTTTTTGATTTAGTTTAGTCCGTTTTACTTGCGCACAAAATATTTGGCGATCATTCTGAAACATCCTGTATATTTTTATCTTTATATTCTTTTACTTTACGTATATAGCTGTAAAATTAAAGTTCTCTTTTCCTGATTTTAATAAAACCGTGTTAAAAAAAATTGTTTCAAATTGAATTCCGGAGCATTTTAACAAGTGATTTATAAAAAATTGATCTTTTTTTAAAATTTGGCTATTTTCCCATCATATATATTATTATATTATAATGTTCAGATGAGATAGATAGAACTAAATAATTTTCACAGATAATATCTTTAAATTTTATGTACATTACAATGCATACAGGATCTGAAGAGATCGAACAGTTTCGATGCTTTTCTTAATATTTAATAAAGTGGACTTTCAATTGATTTATGCGTCCAAGTCTTTAATTGAAATATCTGACACAATCAAGTGGCACGATCGCAAGCTTGATTATCGCAAGGACGCGACATCTCCTTTTCCATCAGGATGTTCCGTATAATCTTCCAGTTTTCGTTTGGTGGATTTCAATGTGGAAAACGACATGCGAACGCGTCTGCAAGTTTCTTCCGCAAACTTTAGAATTGGAATTAAGACGTTATAGAAATGGATTAAGGAGTTTAATTAAGTTGATTCAACGCCCGCCCCACAAAATTTCGCAGCTCCTCTCTGGACTTGCGCGCGGATTGCCCTTTATCGTTGATTCTTCGCAGAATCTAGTTTCTAATTTCGAAGTTTACATTGCACAAATTTTACAAGCTTCCTAAAATCTTATGCAACTGGCAAAGACAAATAATTAGATATATTCCATAAAAATATTCGCTAGATTAATCGTTCAATTGATATATCGATTAATCTTTGTAGTATCGAAAGTTAATAATTCTTCAAAGCGTGGGTATTCAGAAGGAGGTTCAAGAGGGGGATATATGCCCTTCCCTGGGCGACAATTTCTAGTACCTATAATTTCTTTTTCTTGACCTATCTTGTTGCAGTGAGAAAATTTTTAATACTAAAAGTTTATACATTTGTAATTATATACATATATTATATAATACGTTCTAATTTTCGGAATTAGAGTAGGTAATAATGTGCATGCATGCGTGCGTACGTGCGTGCATGCGTGTGTACATATGTATGTAAATATAAATGTGTGAAAAAAAGCAATAAAGATGTTACTGTTATCGTTATTACTATTATATTATTATTATTATTATTATTATATTTTGGATCATACTTTCCTCTAGAAAAAATTCTGTGGACGCCCTTGCTTTAAAGAATTAATGATTGGTTTCTTTCTCATCGATCAACTTTATAATTAACATTTAGAAACTTGAAATTTCTAACTTTACTAAATTACTATCTTTTTTCCTTTTTAATGAAACAATTTTTGATATTCATAACAATTGCGCGTGTTACTCAATATTCATTTGCTCCCGATTTTGTGACAGTAATATCAAGCTTTCAATATTGTATAACGACCATTTTATTATTCATCTTATATGAACTCAAAGATTATATATCTGTCTTTTTTTTAGCCTTTTCCTTTTTTTTCTCCGTGCGCACATAGATTTATCCTTTTTATACTTTTTTATATTCTTTGCAGCCTACTTTGTCCCCTGTCGATCCTCACCTTCCATTGCTAGACGACTTCGCAATATTGTAATGTAAAGTACAATACGTTACTCTCTAAAAGATACGCCGCTGTAAAGAGAAGGATGCAACGAGCACGAGCATAGGAAAAGATTAAAAAGAGAGGTAATACATCTCTCACGGCAGAGAAAAAACATGTGCGCATAATGAGTTTACATATGTTTTCAATAATATGTAAAAATTAAAAATGATTGATTCCTTCTTAAATATAAGAATTGTTTGCATCGTTAATAAAACTTTATATCTTTCTATTTTGATCTCATCATAAAATTAAAATTTTCCTCACATATGTATAATTAAATGACGTTGAAAAATTATTTATTTCCTTCCTATTATGAAAGAAGATTCTGTTAAAGTTTTTAAAATTTTAACTAAATATAAATCTGAAAATAATTTTGTTGAATCCAAAATAATTATGAGTAGATGTAGAGTGTTTAAGCGATAATAATACTGCAAAAAATTTTAATATTCTAGCAATCAATTTGAATCCTACATAATTATTTTTATGATCTAACATAATTATTTTTAAATCTATTATATATCTGTAATTAAATTTTTAAAAACTTTAGCAAAATTGTTTTCCCATCTAAAATAATATTATCATTTATCAAATCGAATAATATATGAGGAGTGATTTAGTTTTGAGAGTTTTGCGAAAGATGACACACACTAATGTTAGTGTTGTCGAAGATATTCCAATATATATCACAGTTATTATTTTTTAATGCTTTAATATTTCTCCATGATATTTAGTCGTTTACTAACAATAAACGCAGTAAACATCGTGTTTATACTATTTAAAAAATGAAGCTTTCTAAAGAACATTTTCAACATGTGTTGCTTTTGTTTTTTAATCAGAAGAAAACGGCGGCTGAAAGTTATAGAATTCTGATACAAACTTATGGTGATGTTGCTCCATCAATTAAGGTATGAGAATATTCAATGTTAAGGACAAAAACTGGAAAAAACTTTACAGATTTGCAAGCATTATTGGACGAAAATCAACACAATCCACTTCAGAATTTGCCAGAAAATTAAATATTGATCGTACAACAGTTATTAAATCTTTACATGATATGTAGTTTAAGGGGGTATAACACCTTTGCGGCTTCAAAAAATAAAAAAAATTTTTTATTGGCTTAAATGATACTTTATGATGTCTAGAATATGATCCCATTAACGCCTAAGCGATCTTAAATTTATTTCACGTCGAAAACAGCTATGCTTGTGTGTTACCTCTAGCGCGGGGAGAGGGCCTCGGGGCGCTCATCGAGCTCGCTGCCTTTCTCTTATGTTTGTCAAGTATTTCAGGATGAAGTTTTCAAAGCAGTCAAGCCTATCTACGAAGAATTAAGTTCTGACGATTTATTATCCCGCTGTCTTGGCGGGTATACTCAAAATAACAACGAGAGCTTCAACTCTGTGCTGTGGTCTATAGCGCCGAAAGGGATCCACAGCAGCAAGGCGATCGTTGATATTGCTGCAAATATTGCTGTTTGCAATTTCAACGATGGCCTAAAAAGTGTATTGGAAATTATGCAAGTTCTTAACTTAACGATCGGTACCACCTGCTACAACTTTTGCATAAAAACCGATGAACGGCGGATCCGCGCAGCCGAGCGCGCCATGACTGCGGAAGCTAAAGCAGCTCGGAGACTTGACATGTCCAATAAAAAGGCCAAAGATGATGAGGACCTTAATTTGGAAGGACAATTGTACGGGCCAGGCATTGCCGATTAAGGTAATAAGCTAATAATTGCAAGATTTCTCATACCAAAATTTAAAACGCGTTTTCTGAAAAACACTATTTTTCAAGCTGGTGTACATCACAACGCCCAACAATTTTTATCCGATCGACAAAAATCAAATATCTTTATACTCAGCATGGGTGCCTTTATGGTACTACCTAGCCTTTTTTAAAAAGAATCACTAGATTTTTTTTGGCAATCGATTTTATGTCAGATTTTTAAGCGAAAATTCGATTTTTTTTTTCAAAGTCGCGCCATTTTCTCAAAAATTGATATTTTTTAAAATCCATCGGTACTACCTTAGCCAAACTATCACAGATTAAGAACCAATTTGTATTTTTGCTTTAGGTCACTTCAGTCAGCCACAATCGTGTACACCAGCAAGACATACGCGACGCTAGCGGCCTCTTTTGACGGCGTTCATTTTATAAACCATGATGATTTTTCAAAAACAAAAAATATGTTCAGTGTCTTTAATATGTAAATAAAAAAGCCCAAAGACCCGATTTTTAATTGCGCACTTCTTTGTATGTAAAAAAAAATCTTGAAAATGAAGTCGATTTTGGCCGTAAAAGGTGTTATACCCCCTTAAATAAATCAATTTTTCAGAAAAAAACCTTTCAAACTAAATTACACTCCTAATACAACACTTATGCAATCATTATGCAATTACATCAAAATTACGCGTTTATATAGTTGTTAAAAAAATTCCCATAAGTTACGGTATATAAATTATATCTAATAATTATAGCAATTGCAACTATTGATACAGTATGATTATAGTTATTTTTGTTATTTTTGTTATCGTAAATAAAGCAGACTAAACTGAGACGAAAAGTCCTCTACCATTTTGCAATTTTCGTAGTAGTTAACAAGATGTTAATTACTAAATATCGCCGAATATTAGTTTTCAATAATTTTTTACTCAAGTACTATTAATTAAAAAAAAAACGGTAAGAGACAAAATTGTTTATTTTCTTCTCATAAAGCTCTAAATATTTTATTAGAATTTTTAATCAACTTTTTAATACCGTATCATTTTATTGCAGGCAATTATTTTTACCAATATATAAAAACGTTGTACTAAAAAGTTCTGAAAAAATTTTCAGAACTCTATGAGATAACAAATAATTTTTGTCTCTTGTTATTTTTTCTGTAAAGTTGATAGTACTAAGGTAAAAAATTATTATTTGGAAAATCAATATTTGGCAATTTTTAGTAATTCATATTCTAACAATAAATTTCCTTAAGATATCCTAATTTGATCAGATTGATCTCATTCTCATCCAAAACATTAAATCATATGATTAGCTTAAGATTTGTAATTATTATTGTAATATAAAACGTAAACCTAGAATATCCTATTTTGATTCGAAAAAATTTTGATCACTATATTGATAAATTGCATTTTTCAACTTTTGATACATGTATGTCATATACATTTACGTATTTTGTGTATATTGTAGAGACCTATCTTTGCAATTTAATTGTTAATTTTTTAAATGTATACATAAATATCCTACAAATATGAAAACTATTCTTTGTTTTGGGAAAAATTTAATCATATTTATTTTTATATGTTATTAATTTGACAGTTGTAGCTATACCTTATTTTATTTTTTGTTGTGCATAATTTATTTTTAAATAGGTATATGATTATTTATTTGACAAAGTAAAAGGAGTTTTCGGTATATTTTACAAAATCGGTTTTATCGTTTGTAAGTATTGTGTTAATGAAAATTTTCTATTTTACTAATTAAACTAACTATTGTATGAATTACTCTATTTAAAAAAAGCACTTTCAGAGGCTCTATGGACACACTCTTATTAAGTTAAAAGTAAATGACGAACTCCATTTGCATACACCTCTTTATAGGAATTCGCGTCATTTTCTCCTTACGGAAAATGAATCCATCTCGCGGCAATATTGCTACTTACTATGCCGTTTGCCTGGCAGAGTATACGTACGCTATATTGCATACACTACGGACATCGCTAAGCAAACAGCCTAATACGCAGTATCGCAACGAGATGGATTTTTCGTAAAAAGAAAATGACGCGGATCCCTATAAAGAGGCGTTTGCAAATGGAATTTGTCACTTATTCTTAGCTTGATCAGCACAGTGGAGCCCCTAAAAGTATTTTTTTTAAATAGAGTTATTCTTAAATAGAGTAAATAGAGAAATTATTATAGTTAGCTTCTGTGAGGCATACTCATTTTCTGCATTTTGTATCATACCGATGTGGATATCTGTACGAATGACGTTCAAGTCCACTAAGGAGGCCTGACTCGAAGCTTTTTCTTGATTAGCCGCAGTGTTTCGTCCCGGTCCCACACTACTAGACTCATCAGTAAGTGTAGGATCTTAAATCCTGGAATGAATTTAAATTGATGTTCTATTTAAAAGGAATTCGCGTGGTTGGAATGCTCACGTGAATCCGAGCAAGTTGGATCTCTGGTAGCGAGTCGCCACAGAACTCCAATGAGGGCACGATCCAATGGATTACATCGGAATGATAAGTATCAGGGACGAGCGCGGTACAGTCGGTGTAGCTTGGTGGCGTTCGTTATCGTTCATTGTTATTTCTGTGCTGCTCTGTGTTGCTCGATGCTGTTCGGTGCTGCTATGTATGAACGTGCGAGCATGTGCATGTAAGCGTGTGAGCGTGTGTGTGAACGTCTTTACGAACACATATGTTCACGTCGGAGTCACCAATGTGGATATCAGTACGAAATGATGTTTATGTCCATTAAAAAGGCCTGACTCGAAGTTTTTTGATCGTAGAGTTTCGTCCCGGTGCCACACTACTAGACTCATCAGTAAGGCGATGTGGGATCTGCCTTAGACGCCTGGAATGAATTTAGATTGATTTTTATTTAAAGGGAATTCGCGTGGCTGCACACTTGAATCCGAGCGAGTCCCGTTGGACCTCTAATGGCGAGTCATCACATCGAGACGCGGATATATCCTTGTAAAAATGTACTGCGCTGTAGTACTTAGAATAATAAATTTATATTTATTATACTATATTAATAAATAAATAAACTAATATTAATAAATTAATATTTTTCTATAAGATTTTAATATTCTAAAAAACATTTTAGGACATCCACTGGATAAAGACAGAATGAAATTTGGTCCAGAAATACCCTAATGATATCTAAATGATGATGTCCTATGGGTGTAGAATAAGCGGACATATAAACATCCTCAGTATATCCTAAATATTTCCTAAGTTTTTTTAGGTACGTACCTAAATGTTTGAAAATCCTTTGACATACATCTGTACCTAGGATCAATCTTTGTTGTGTGGGAATTCAATAGTATTATTATATTATACTTTTAATGATTTCAAAAAATTACAGTATATAATTTCCTTTAAGAAAATGGAACAATGGCGTTTTAATAAAAAATTTAATTTTAACAAAAAAAAATCGTAAACATGTTTGTAAAAATGTGCATTTTACTTAAAAAAATTATAACTTTTAAAATTTATAATATTTTCAAATGCAGTTTCAGCTTACAAAGGAAACACCAGGTGATGGTATCGGGCATTTTCATGCGCTGTTTACAGGCTGTTCTTGAGCGAAAAAAAAAAAACATTACACGTCCGGCCGTTTCAGCCATTGCCCCTTGGTTTCAAAGAAATCGATTTATTAAATAATTAATTTCTTAAATAATTTTAACATTTTGAAAAAGGTACTATATAGGAAAATATCAATATCTTTTTAAATTTTATTTTATTTTGCTGAATGTTAAGGATAAAATTACACCTAAGTAGATGATTCTGAATCTCGGATGATGATTCTGAACGTAGCAAGTAAACCGCGCGCCATCCGAAATGTTGCTCATTTCAGTAAGCATTTAATTCATTCACGCGCGCAGCGATTCTGAACTGAAGAATATTTCAATAAAATTTATCAGTATGGAAAACAATAAAAATGTTCATGAAATCGTATATGCTAATAGAGTGGAAAATGCGATTATTGATGCTAAGCAAGGCAAAACAACATCTTTGTCACTTTCAAAACAAAATATAACTGATGGACTGAAAATTTGTGGTCAAATTGTATACAACTGGAAAAGTGGAAAGTTTTAAGTTTTGAAAGAGATTATTGGAAAGAAAATTGTAGAATTTGTAGCAGAAATGATTTTCATTTCAAAAAAGATAAAGAATTAGTTTTGGCGGAAGAATGCATCACACAAGAAGATATTAACATGATTAATTCTAATGTTTCATCACCAATTTATTACATTGATAATTGACAATTAATGAGTTAGTATCCATAATAATAATTGCCTATTTGATGTATTATTGTAATTTATTTGAAATGTATTATATAATTTACTAATTAATTTTGATATAACATTACAATGATTCATTTAAAAAAATTAAAAATTAATATCATATTTTAATAATTAATAAAATATATTTTGTATTAATTAAGAATAACTCCACTAATGTATAAATTTTTGCGAACAGATTATTTGAACATATGAATTACATTGGCAATTATTTCACTAATTACGTATTCTAGTATTATAATTACGATTATAATAATTGATATTTATAATTGATATTTGTACAGTGTAATAAATTTAATGAAATATTGGAATACCTTCTTATGTGATACATTCTTTCGTCAAAATTCTTCATCTTCTTCAATGAAAATAACGAATCATTTCTACCACAAATTCCACAATTTTTTTTCCAATAATCTCTGCTCTTTCAAAAAACTTGGAACTTTCCACTTTTTCAGTCAGTTATAGTTTGTATAAAATTTGACCACAAATTTTCAGCCCATCAGTTATATTTTGTTTTGAGAGCGACAAAGATGTTTTGTCTTGCTAACATCAATAATCGCATTTTCCATTCTATTAGCATATGCGATTTTGTTATGAACATTTCTATGGTTCTCCATGCTAGTAAATTTTATTGAAATACTTCTTCAGTTCGAAGAATTGCTGCGCGCACGAATGCATATTAAAATGAACAACATTTCTACTGGTCTTGCACGCGGTCTTGTTGCGTTTAGAATCATTATCCGAGATTCAGAATCATCCACTCAGTTATTATTTTATCCTTAACATTCGGTGAAATAAAATGATATTTATAAAAATATTGATATTTTCTAATACATTATGTTTTTCAAATTATTACAATAATTATTTAAAAAATCGATTTTTTTGAAACTATGAGTCAATGGTTGAAATGGCCGAACATGTATCATTTTTTTTGCTCAAGAACAGTTTATAAAAAGCGCATTAAAATTCCTGATATCATCATCTGGTGTTTCCCTTCTCAGAAAAGTACATTTTGAGATAATGTATTTTAAAAAAAACAATAGTATAGTTACACGCGTTTCAAAAAAAGTATTTATTTTGAATGTAGAAGATGACCGCCTTTAGGTATAAAAAAGATGTTAAATTCGGGTAAAAGGCTATTTATTATTGGTTTAAGTTATTATTAATATAAAAATTATTATTATTATTATATATTAATTTATTATTATTATATATT